ATTTTAAAAATTAAATGCCATGTTATCTGCTTCTTTTCCTCAATGTTTAAAAATTCATATCTTCCAGAAAAATAAAAATATCGACTTCTTTCTGGGTTTATCTTAAAGATGAATTATGTGGCTATTTTCTAAAAAATTGTGATTTTATTTAAAAATGGCCGTTTCAATATGGCCGATTAAAACGTAATTTTATTGAAAATTGTTAAAATTTGTTTAATTAAAATGTAAATTGGTATAAATGTTATTGGAAGATGTATGGGATTCAATACGCGGCGCGCGCGAAGCGCGCGCCTGTTATGTACTAGTAATAATTAAAAAAAGATTACGATGTTACGAGCATATAATGTTAGAATATTCTTCTTACATCGTATATTTTACCCTTCCATTTGCAGGCAGTACGCTCAAAAATTGGACAGCATTTATCAGCCAGTAGCATTTCCTCCAGTACATAATCGTCTATATCAGGATGTACGTTCATACTTGAACATTCCGTGAATAAACAGTTTGTTTTAGGGCCATCATCCGAATTCTCGCACACGCACGTTTTGCATTTGCCATCTTTCCATTCTTCGCCAATTTTTTTCATTACCACTCGTTGTTTGCCTTGCTCTTCGTTATATGTATAGAGACAAACATCCTTCGGAGGCACTAAAAAATAATAATGTTAGCAATTAAATTAATATTTCCATCTTGTAGAGTTCATATCTTTTCGTATAAATATGCGTTGTTAAAAATTTTGACTTCTCAAAAAGATTTGCATGTCATTTTAAATTCATGTTAAACATATTACGATACTCTTTCGTTCTTGAACGCACGCATACACATAATTTGACGAGTGCATAAATAATCACGAAAAGGAAACTATACCACATTCGTAAGTGGGACAACACTTGTCTACAAGCATCGTTGTAACAGCGTTGTAGTAATCCGGACAGTCCGTTGCAGGGGGACAAGTTTTCGGATCGCACATTTTAGATGGTCGCGGGCAACAACCGGATGTATTCATTATCTGTATAAAACCAGGTTGCAATGGTTCAACCTCATTTGTAAAATTGTCGAAAGTGGGGCACTCGCTTGCAGGTAGGCATTCTGAAATTATGTGATATTATGTAGCTTGCAACGAGGATTAAATAGAAATTGATTAGATCAAATTATTTTGAAAGGTGCATACAAATACACGTTATACGTACGGCATATAAATTTGTGACAGCCATCAGTATCGGTAATCGCTTTCATTATCTGGCCAAAGCCACATTCCGGCTCCTGCGGCTCAATACATATTGTAGGTGCTGTCGGCTTTGGAGCTACGTGAAAAAATCATTATATTCGGATCGGTTAAAATGGACACAGTAAAAATATATTGCTATTTATTGAAATTGCAGCATCAAATAGTTACAAGTGTAATATTTTCTATAATAAATCATATTTTTTAATTTTCTTATAATTAATTTATAAAATAAATTTCATAAGTAAAAGAACTTGCAATTTTGATAAATAAATAAATATATATATATATATATATATATACATATATATATATATTAGAAATGTATTTTTCAATATTATATATGTTGACTCACCGCATAAATATTTGGCGCAACATCTCGCCTCAGTTCCATTGATAAGTACAGGTGTCATATTTTCTTCGCAAATTGTATCCAATACAGGACATTCCATCGTTTGACAATTCACAACCCCGTCGTTGCAATTGCATTCGGTGCATTTATCCGGATACCAGATATCTCCCTGCACGTGACCGTCTTTATCACAGACGAAACAATTCGTCTTCGGTATGCAGGAATCATTGTGTAATACATGATCCCCCGGACAAAAGCATCCTTCGACAAGATCAGATGCGCACTTAGGATTGTCTGCATCGTTTATAGTGTCACAGGTTTCTTTACAACTGGATCCGCATGCTTGGTAGACAAGATCTAAACGACAAATATTAAGGAAAATTTATTAAGGAAAAACACTTTTTCACAATTTTTTATTAGATTAGTTGCTTTTCTATCTAAAAAAAGATCATGTTTTAAATTACTAATTAAATGAATTCAATTTAATTTAAAAAAATTTTTCTAAATAGCAAAAGTAAATAAAAATTAATATTTTAATTTTAAAAAATTATTTTGTAAACTAAGTATAAAATATATTTGCAATAACGCGACACAAACTCTGTATAATTTAAATTTAAATTTTGCAACTTTTGTACTCAAAATTAAATAATTAAGACAGAAGCGTACCCTTAGGACACTCGTAAGAACAGATTTCGTTGGTTCTCCAATCTGGACATAGACCAGCTTCCGAACACTTCCTTGCGTACATCTCCAAGCTGTCGCAATAGTTTCTGCCAGTGCATAACGCATCGTGACAACAATCTAAGTACGGTTTTGGATCGACAATGCTGTGACACTGCTTGAACGCCGCTAAATCTAAAAGCTTCTTGCAGAGATCTTCTTCCGGTGGCGGAGGCATACATTGAGGTTGACGATTACTGGAACACGCCTGATCGCTCAGACCTAACTGCGTCGACAGATTCTCGACCAACCAGGATCTGCCGAACTCCTCGGCGTCGTCGGTGATCTCCCCGTCACGTTTCTCGAAACCACTTTCGGCATCGGTGTTGCAGTTGCCGCACAAACCCTCGGTATCGTCGCTGAAGATATGCGAAGGTAGTTTTAAAGTAAACGCAAAGTTCTGTTGAAAGGCGATGAGTTCCAACTGGATGGACGGTATGAGCAGAATCACATCTCCGAGCGATGTTCGATCCAAGACAATCCACGTATGATTGTACAGGAACTTTTCCACTTGGAAATTATCGATCGCCACCCGTAGATCCTTCGAGCGTTCCGCTCGTTTGATTTGCACCACGTGCTCTTCGTAAAGTAGCGTAATAACCTCCGTGCACGTGCCGGTATCGCAATATCCGTTGGTAATCAAGATCTGATACGCGCGAGGCCCCTCCCGACCCTTCGCGTTCTCTGCGATATTCCCCGAAAGCAGGTAAGTGCAATTACCGGCGAACCTGAAGTCCCTGCGATTGAAGCCGATGAATTTGGCGTCGCCGAGGCCGTCGCATACGCAATCCCGACACTGCGTTGGCGGCACGCACTCGTCGTTCCGACGCACCAGTCCGTCCGGGCAGAAGCAGCCGGGGAAGCAAACGCCTCGCATTGGCGGACACGGTTCCACTTCGTGGAGATTGTCGCAGGTGATCTCGCACTTGCTGCGGAAGCAATCTCGATGAAGGAACGGCGACGGGCAGCTCGCGGGACAATCGTAGACGGTTCTCCAATCTGACAACAGATCTGCGCCGGGACCGATGGCAGCTTCGCACTCGCCGACGAAGTTCGTCAGCGAACGGCATCGGCAGTCTTCGTAGGAACTGTTAGAAGTCTGCAGACAAGAGCACATGCTCTCCACGCAGCAAGACACAAACCTACGATAATGGAAATAGCAATTTATTTTAAGAAAATATATTTTTTTTAATATAATTTTTACACAGAAATTTATTTAGCTTAAGCGGATAAAGCTTTGTTTTCAAGGCTTCGATTTTGTTAACAAATTTTATACACCGATTTAATTGTTTGAATTAACAAATTCCTACCATTGAATATTTATTAAATGTTACCTGTCAACGTTGACAACTGCGGAACACGCGTCCAGCAGCATCGGACTCTTGACGGAATTGCAGATCCTCCAAGCCTGCTCCTGAACGTCACGTGGGCACACGTGCAAGTCGCATTCCGTGTCTTCCAACGCCCAACTATCTCCGAACTGAACGGTGCTTCTCGCTTGCATGCCTTCCGGTGTCTGGCGATCGTTCGTGACATCGCCGTCGAAGTATCCGCACAGGCCGTCCACGCGACCCGCCAGTTTAGCGGCGACGCCGATCTTCGCGTTGGCGCCCGAGTCCCAGATCACCCAGAAGCCGTAGCGATGCGAGACGAAGATAAGCTTATCGCCCGTGCGCGAAAGCTTGAAGTCGGGCAATCGATTTCCGAGTCGCGCGATCTGCTCGGCCGTGAAGGTGTACTCGTCGATGTCCACGTGCAGATCCGGATAAAGCACGATCGCGCGCTCGTTCAGCATCACCGCCAAGACCCGCGTGCAGGTGCGCTGCCCGCGCGACTCGGTGCACAGCTTCTCCAGCGTGACGTACCACTCGTTACCGTACATGTCCCGGGCTAAGATGTGATTGCAGATATCGTACTTGTACTCCATGTTGTCGAACGTGTTGAATGTCCTGCCGGTGACGTTGCAGATCGCCTCCTGAGGCGACAACGGCCGGCAAGCATACTTGGGACACTTGCGGAACTTGTACATGCTCATCTTCTCGTACACCACCTCGTACTGCGGCGGGCAGGACGCCTCTGGACATTTCTCCGGCTGTTTCTCGCCCGGATAGACAGGAGGCTTGGCGGGCACGCAGATGAACTCGGGGCATTGAATGTTTTCCGTTGCTGCTTGATAATCTTGATTCTTCATTCGACGTTCGTCAAATGGATGTTTTTTGTGTCCCTTCGTCTTCGTGAAACCTCTGTGACCTTTGGTCTTTACGTTTGTCTTGACATTGTGATGCGGTTTATCGTGCAGCCGGGACGTCTGTTTGAAAACTACTCTGTAACCAGGTGGACAAATCGGTTTCTCGCATGGCACAGGACTAACTTGAACGGAACCAACAGTCGTGACCTCCTGCCTGATTGGAGACTCCGTCGCGACAGGTGTCGTGGAAATGATCGTTGGACAATCTATCTCGTCATCCGGACAATCTTGAACACCGTCGCACCATGCGGTCTCGTTTACGCACACGTCGCTCGTAGGGCAGTGCCTGGTGCCCGCTGGGCAAAGTTTGCAGAGGCAAGCGCACAGCTCGCCGACGACAGATCGCAGGCCCGGTTCCAAGCAAGGCTCGCATTTCTTTGGCAAGCACGCGGCCGTTCCGCCGAAGGAGCACACGCACTGCTGGCAATCCTCCGTTTCGTACATGCTACCTATCTGTAATTAAACATTTATTATTATTGTATCTATTACAATCGATCGTTGGAAGTTTGTACCAAGACATACAAGCGCATTATTGCTATTGACTATTTATATATTTTTTATATTATTTTTATTATATAACATTTTTTTATATTATATAACTATTATTGTTACTATTATTATTACCGCGTAAGGAACGTGCCCGACCACGCAGGGACACTCCCGCTTTGGCACGCACGACTCGCCATCCCACCAGTGAGGATCCTCGCATCTGCAGCCTTCCTGGTTCGACGATTGATCAATTCCGTCGCACACGTTGCACTCTTGATCGAAGGTCGTCGTCGTCGATTTAATTGTTGATGTTGTTATCCATGACACAGGATACATTAGATAACAGCCCAGAATTTCGACCTTCAACGCGATATGATCGTGCCACTTGACGGGCTGTACTCGCAGAAACTTTGCGTGCAGTGGCCTCTCGAAGAAATTCGTTCGTTGGCTTTCCGCGTCGAAATTGCCGAGAAATACCTTCTCGTCGCCGTTCTCGTCGACGACCGGGCTCCAATAACGTCCGTCGTTGCTGTAGAATACCTTGTAAGCGGTCGTCCAAGCACCGTCGCCGCCCTTGGTTGTGACTCCCGTCAGATTTCGAGCCTCTAGGAAGTTAAACTGAACGTATTGATGAGGATTGTCCAGAGCGGCACGCCATGCACTTTCCGCGGATAACCGAAGATACTGAGCTAGCTGCGGCGAGCTCGACACGGAAACTTGTTGCATGGACATCAGCCCATTGTCCAATCCCATCGAATCCTCGCACACCGGCCTCACAACTTTTTCGGTCGTTGTCTTCATCGTCGTCTTTGATATTGCGTCCTGACAACCCAGCACTTCCATCTTAATCGCGATCCCATTGTGCCACGTCAGCGGATTGATACGAAGGATCTTCGCCTCGATCGGTCGATAGAATATTTGCTTCACGGTCTGAAATTTGTCGATGGGCCCCCTGAACACGCGTGGCTGTTTCTCACGGTCGAGCACGTATGAGAAGGTCTGGCCGTCCTCCGAGAAGAGCATTTTGTAACTGGTTACAAATTTGTCTTCAAAAACGCCACCCTGCAGAATCACCCCGTAAATCGGTTCAGGTTTATTGAACTCGACGTCAAGCCACTGATCTGCGCTCATCATCTCAGGTTCCCAGAATTTCTTGGGCAGCAGCATTGTTTCTTCCGTGTGCAACAGTAGATCCTCGGATCGTAAAACGGAATTCCTATTACCGCTAGCGCGGACGGTCACTTCTTTCCGCAGATTTTGTATCAGCGGTACGTAGTTGGCGTCGTCGCATTCCCCGGGCGGTGTGACTGTGCTGTGCAAAAGGATCGTTTCATTGACGGACGGCCAGGTGACTGGTGATGTTCTCCAAGTGCTTCCCGAGGTCGTGCTGAGCGGTGGTTGCACGGTTGTTTCCGGTCCCTTTCCCGTTCCTACCGTCACCTCGTGACCTAAGATTTCATGGCAGAAAGTTGTATCGCATGTGTAATAATTATTGATGCACTGGCAGGTCTCGCAATCGGACTCTTTCCTGATGGCACCGGGTGCGACTGACCCTCCATCGTGGGACCTGCAAGAGCAGTGGTTTGCCTCCACGCAGGTGGCACCGTCTCTCCAGAACTTGTGCGTGGGACACGTCGGTCGGTCGATCGAGACGCATCCGGGAACACAATCGACACCTTCGTCGCAAAGACCCTGCGTCGTCAGGATATGACGATAGTACTGGCACGTCCTGTCGCACTGGATCGCGCATTCGCTCCATGTCTCGCCCTCTTTGCACACGTTCGTGGTCGATACTATTTTTTGCACTGTGGTCGACAGCGTGTTCTTGTAGTGGCTGCCAGTATTGCTGCTCCACTCCATTCTGCCACTGCCTTGCGGCGTAGTTCGTCCGGATGCGACCGAACACTCTGGTCGTAAGCGTTGAACTTCCGCCGGCCAATCGCACACGTAGGTTTCCGGATTGTAAAGAGTGCCAGGACCGCACAACCTTTCCATCAGTTCGTGCCCCGTTGGTGTAGGGACGCACTGATAAAATAGCTGGCAGTTCGTCAGATGTGGTGAATTGGGCTGCGCGGGATCGCATTCCTGATCTTGTTTCTTCCCAGTCTCCGTGCTGACTTCTGTCGTCGCATTCTCGACGTTGTGTGTAATTGGTTCGGAGCAACGGCATAACACGCTAATCTCGAAGTCCACGCAAGGAAGATCCGGGTGCGGTTGGCAATACAAGCCAAGCTGCAAGCTGCACTCCACGTCCAGGCCGGTCTCCTTCGGGCTCAAGTGTCCCTTGACGGATCTGCATTTTATGTCAATTATGTGCTTCTTGTCGCAAATTGCGAGTCCGTTTGCATTAGCAAGATCCATCGACGTGGGCAACGGTTCCATGTCTACAAACTTTTTTTTCCCTTTCACCGCTCGATCCTGATTGATCCACGTGGTCCAGCCGTCTATACATTTCTGGGGCTCTTCCAAGGGCACAGCGGTAGTACCAGCGGTAGTAGCGATGCTGGTGCAAGCTTCTCCCTTGCAGATCACCTTACCGCGACTGCAGAAACAGCTGTGGCAATCGTCGCCGCTGATTCTGTCACCCTCGTAGTACGTCGCTCCGTCGAGCTCGGTACAGAAAGGTTTCGCGCACGTCGATTTGAGTATACATTCCGTGTAACTGGCGTTTCGATACACTTGACCCTCGGGACAACGCTGGAACTGGCAGCCCTCCACGCACGTATCCTCCGCGCACAGATGCGAGCCGTCTCTCACGATCATGGAATTGTCGCACGTCTCGCGTGGACAGGTCGAGACGCAGGGCGAATACGTGCTGCATTTTTCGTCACACTGCAGCGGGCAGAGTTCTTGCGTTCGCCATTTCACGGGGACACCTCGCACGTTGCATTCATGCGCGTACGCGGCTAACGCCGTGCACAGGCACTCGCAGTCGCCACCGGCGTCGCAGCTGCACGTATCGAAGATGCAGTTGCGTAGGTACGGCTCGACCTCCACCTCCGAGTGGCAGGGCGAGAACAACGGTGACTTCAACACGTTGCACTGCCGTAGCGACCACAGCTTACGCTCCAAATGTTGCTCGCAGACGTCATCCTGCATGTCCTTTGGCTCAAGACAGAACGTGTCCTTCTTCCACGAATCCCCGAACAGATTGACGGAAGCCTCGGCTATCCCGCCGGATGGTGTCTTGAAATCGTCCTCGGCGTTATTGTTGTAGTCGCCACATAAACCCATCGTGCGACCCTTCCACTCCGGGTTTAATCTTACGTAGACTCTGGTACCTAATCGCGAATTATCAAAATTAAATCTTTTCAAGAATTCAACTTATTTATATTTAGACAGAATTATCAAAATTAAATATTTTCGAGAATTTAACTTATTTATATTTAGACAATCTGCACGCGCGCGCGCACACACACATACGATTCTCACCTTTGTCCCATTGTAGCACCAATCCTAAATCTGGCGCGTCGACAAATACGAAGAGACCAGCGGTTCTTATCGACAGTCTCTTAAAAGGTCCCTTAGGTAGCTCCTTCCCTTTTGTCAAAACGAGCTCTTCCTGTTGCTCACCGCTGCCGATCGTGAGCTTGATGGATTTCGAACACGCAACTCCATTTGTACCGCAGGGTACGTTCTGAATCGAGACATCGAAACAATCTTCCTTGTTCAACGCACTCTTCACCAGGACATAGTCGCATACACCTTGGAAATCGTATGTTTTACCGTCGAATGTTTTATAATGCGAATCGCCCCATACAGAACATACTCCTGCGAAAGTAATATTATTTCAGCATAATATGACAAAGTATAGAAATAAATAAATGTAAAATAAATAAATATAAAAATAAATATAACGTAATATAGAAATAATAAATCCAATTTTTTTTATTTGATAAATATACAGAGAAATTAATGGAAATAATTAATAACGAGTTAGCAAAAAAAATTTCACCTGCGCAAATTCTGTCCGTGCACTTCCACTTGGTGCCCTCGCACGTGCAAGTATTACACTCGGCTTGTATAACTGAGCCTTGCTTGTAGCTCTTCCCGCCGTGATGACAGGGGCAGTCCTCTTCCTTGATGCAAGCACCATTCGGCGCGTCCAAGACGTATCCGAATTTGCAAACGCAACCAGACGTGCACACTGACGGCGTCTGTTCGCTCCGGATGTGCATGTTGCTGCAAGTTCTCTGCTCCGCTGGCTCGCAATCCGTCACTTCCAGATGCTTGCTGGCCTGGCAAACGGAGAGCAGTTCCGTGACCGGTGGATATTCCCGAATCTCGTCTGGCGTTGCTAACCGGCACTCCCATGCGCCGCCTGTGGAACCAGTGAAAAATAGAATTTTGCATTAAAAAAACACTAGCCGGGAAACTAAACTCGCGCTTCAGAGACACAGACCTACGCAAGAGCAAAGCTCCTGTCCTTTGTTACCCGGACGGACTTCTCGGTGATTGGGCTTGTATTCGCGACCTGCGTGTACGCAGGGACACTGAGCGATCGGGATGCACTCGCCGTTCACGTCTAGCGTCTGGCCTTCTGGACAATTGCAACCCTCCACGCACTCCTGCCTGCAGTCCCGATAGAAGGAGATGTCCGCGCACGATCTACATCAATAAATTAAGCGTGATATAAAAAACGACTCGATAAGTAAGTGCAGGAAATGCGTTACAGCGTGCTTACCTTGTGCAACTGTTTCCGCAGATTTGATAGGTCTGTCCGCCCCCACAATGTATTCTACATTCGTCGATCTCGGTGCGCCACGAAAGTTTCACGCCTAGAACCGCGCAATCTTTCGCGTACGCCGCTAACATGGGGCAGAGGCACGACTTTATATCAGCGTCGCACGCGCACATGTCGTACATGCAGTCGCGGTAAAATTCCGTCGGCTCGACATACCAATGGCAATCTAAAATAACAGGCAAATAACGAGATTATTTGAATTATCCAGATAAAATAATTTGTTTTACAGTACCCGAGAAAATATCGCTGTGTATCTTGGAACAGTGCTCTTCCGCGGTCGCTCGCCTTTGAGGATTCAGCTCGCAGGGATTCGTCGGCTCGCTCTCGGGCTCGTCAACGCAGTGTTCACTCGTCTTCCATTTATTGGCGAAGGCGACCGCCGCGGGTTCGATATCACCGTCAGGCGTTATAAAATCATCTTTCTGATTTTCGGTAAACGTTCCGCAAAGTCCTTTCGTTCGACCTAAATAATCGCGATTCAGTCAGAAGTATTTTTTAAAAGATATATCGATAATATAATTCATTCTCGTTATAATGATGGAACGTAAGACGAAAAAAATTTACCGTGAAATTCAGCAGGAGCGTTAATGTAAACACGCGATACACCATCCCACCACACTTCCAAAGCATTTGGCAGGTGAATCACCATGAATATGCTGCTCGCAATTCGTATTCGAGCACCGTCGAACAGCATCGGGAATTTCGTCACCTCGTCACCATTTATCATAATCTGGCGATTTTGCTTTAATTTTATAGAGGTATCCATGAAAGTGATTGTAACGGTCTTGACGCATGACGGGGAGCCTGCAGAGGCAAAGCCCATGCTCTGAAATAAATAACAATTAATTAGGAATGACTACTAGAATAGGAGAATATATAATTAGTAAAATTAATAAAAATTTAATTTAATATATTAAATTAATAAAAATTCAATCTATCATTAATTTCTCAAATTTATCTATAAAATATATCAAGAGGGAGATTTTTCTGACCTCGGATATCGCTCCGGAACAGGGGACGTTTTCGCTTTCGATCGCATAATTTTCTCCTTTCATCAAATAGTATTCGCACTTTCCCATGAAATCGTAGTGCTTGCCATCAAACGTGGTGTAATGCGGGTCGCCCAAGACGGCGCATCTGGCACCGCATCGTATCTGCGTGCACACCCACTTGCCGGAGGTGCACGTGCACGTGTTGCAACCCTTCGGCACGCTCGTGCCTGGCTGGAACAATTTGCCCCTCAACCTGCACGGACACTGCTCCGGAGAGACGCACTTGCCTTGGTGTTCCAAGGTGCCCGCCGGACAGAAACAGCCTTCTTCGCACTCGGAACTCTCGCCCGTCGCTTCGATGCTGGAGGAACAAGACGCTTCCACCTTTGGACCGCACGACATATACACCCGTCCACCGTCGCAGCTAATCGCTAAAAATAATTCAATTATCTGTTTATTCAAGAATTAAATAAGACAATCATCCGCCGTATACTTTTCGCGAGTAATGTATATAAAATATTTTTTTATTGACTCACGACAAGTATCTTCGTTTCTCCACGCGGTTAATCGCGCGACTCCTTTGTGAGCGCACTGGCGGATATAAACGTCCATGGTGTCGCAGGCACATTTTGTCCTGTCTTCATGCTTGCACGCGCAGTAATCCCACAAACATGCACTGGTCAGTTCAGAGAGATTGATCGTGTCGGCGCAAGCCTTGAATTTATGATCGGAGAACAACTTGTGGCAAAACTGATAGGCGTCACGAGCAACCTTGTCTCTCGACTCGCACGCGTTTTGTATACTCGGATAATCACACGTTTCTACAAAATAAAATACGTCGCAATCGTTAGAACAATCATTTGTTAATTAAACCGGATATTTTACGTAAAATGGTTTAGCATTTACAAAGTGCAAGGTGAAAATGTAATTGCCATTGTCATTACCTTCGAAACTTTCGACGCGCCAAGAACTTGCAAACGCCGCTACAGTTCCAGCGTGACTTCCGCTCTTCATTAAGAACTCGTCGTTCGGATCGTCGTTCATAGTACCGCAAAGACCAGCCGTTTTGTTCCACACACTTTCGGAAGCCTCGATCTGCAGCAGCAGGGCACCATCCCACTTGAGCTTCACGCCCAGCGAGTCGAGGGAGACGAGGATGAAATGCGCGGACTTGTCCACGCGCAGTCCAGGCAAGTATATCGGTATCGGCAACGATCGTTTGTCGTTGGAAAGTATCGGCACACCTGCGTCGTCGCTGGTGAGCACGTATTTCTTGTCGTGCACAAACAATTCAATGATCCTGAAGCAACGACGATCCGATCCGGTTCCGCAGCCCGGGCTATTCAGTGCCACAATTGTGCAAACGCCTTCTTGCGTATCGCGCAGAAGCGTGTGCGAGCAGTCGCTGTCGAAGCTGTAAATTCTGTCGTCGAAGGTCTTGTAGTGCGCGCCTCCCCAAGTGAAGCATGTCTTCGGCCTCGGTCGACTCATTTCGAATACCATTGTGCGATCGTCACGGGTATTAAATCGAATCTGTAATGTTTCATGCAATCATAAATTAAAGTTTCATAAATTAATTATACCATTCTCGGTTTGTTAATTTGGCAAACATGATCTCTTGTCGCATGTAACATTTTTAGTGTCTGTTACGAATTTTATTTATATTTTATTACATTAAATAAAACGCATTTTTATAAATGTATTATTTACCGGATACGACGTACTGCTGCCGTAAATCCTGTTGTGTTCTCCATAAATCTGAGACTGCTTCGTTTTGGTGTTATAAGCATTCTCCATCGACCAGGAGTGATTCGATTCCTGTACATAGGTGTTGTGGAATGTACCATGTGAAATGATTCTCATGTTATTCTCGATTTTGCATTGCGGCACAGGCTGCGGTTCGAAGATCCCTTTGTCATAGGTGCAAGTGTAAACCGAAGAAGCTGGAAATTCGAAATTCACCCCTGGTGGACAGTACAGCGTACAGGAATACGTGTCACCGGAATCTCTGCAGTGATAGCCACCATTGAAGTGCAATTTCTCGGCGTCGCAAACGTCAGCAGCTGCCATCGGTATATGTTAGTTAGATATAGAATTTACAAAAAAAAATAAATTAGATCACATACAAAAATATTTATTTAATAAAATTTATTTTATTTTCGCAGATATTTTCCGATAGATAAAGGCTGCGTTCTAAAATTTACTGCCTGCACTGAAAATCAATAGTTTACGTTACGTGTACTGTACTATAGATTTTCAGCACTGGCAGTGAATTTTGGAACACTGCCGAATGTAATTACAAAGAAAAAAATGTAATTACAAAGAAATCTTCTCACTTACAGTATTGACACTGAGGCCCCCGATAATCCTGTGGACACTGGCACACATTCATCGGCAGACAATTGCCACCGTTTTGACAAGGAGGATCGCACACGGCTGTAGAAACATAATCACATTAAGTATATTAAATGTGTTCCGATGTTATAGAAATTCGATCGTGCAGACGTACGTTCGCAATCCGGAATTGAGACCCAGTCGCTTCTAGTTGGCATCCAACTTCCATTCTTGCAAATTAGATTAGCGACGGATGAACCGTCGGGAAAAGTAAAATGATCCAAGCAAGATATGGTACACGTTCTGAAAGAAAAAATTAAACAGAATTGAAAATTTTTGTTTGCAGAAATATAATCCATAAATCCTATACTTACTTCGAATTACATCTTTTATAAGAATTAAGTACAGGCGGTGAATAATTCAGGCACGGTCTATCTTCGAATTGGCATTGCGGACCAGTAAAGTGTGTGGAACAGTCGCATTGATGAGGCGCAACGCATATTCCATTATTTTGACACTCCGGCAAGCAGATCGCTGTGAAAGATTTAATGTACGATTTAGATCGCGAAGTCACTCGATCTTGTCATCACTCTATCTTCTACATCGAGTATAAATAAAATTTAGATTCGCTTTTGCTACGTACGTTCACAATGTGGTACCAAGCTCCACTCGGTTCCTCCAATGTGCCATTCCTTGTCGACGCAGGTAATCGTCAGATGAAACGCGCCGTTCGGAAATTTGTAATCGGGTGCACAGCTTGCGGTACAGCCACTATTCACAAAAAATCGTTACATTAAGCATATTTCTTCAGCGTTTCATTTTAGCACATTTTTGTTTGTAGAATTAAATATCTCGTGATTTTAATTTAAGATATAAAAAATAAAAAATTTATAATATTGATATTAAATATCTAATACCGCAAAAATATTTGCCAATTAACTTATCATTTTAAGCGATTGAGATGTAAAATTGATAATATCATTTTCATTTCAATTTTTCAGTGCTCCTAATACCTGTTCGAAGAACATTTTATCTTGCCGTTTACAGGCGTATTCGGTACATGAGTACAACCCCCTGCAAATACGCGTTTTCCTCCTTTGCTGCTTTTAACATTGTAGAAATCTCTGATCATTGAATCTGGTGCATCGTTCAGTATGTCCTCCTTCCTAATACATAAGAGAAAATTTATAGAGACAGGAGTTCTAATATAATAACGAGAAAATAAATATAAAAGCAAAAAAATTTATAGAGACAGGAGTTCTAATATAATTCGCATTAACTTATTCTTTACGGACAGCAAAATACAGTTATTTTCTTGGTACTATAAAGGATTTCAATTTTTATGATGAAAAAATGTACGATGTACGAACTCATTTATGTTTTGCGCGTTCTCCTCTGAATATCCATATCCTTGTCTTATACTGCTCGCAGCGATAATCAGTACGAATAAACGTCCAAGTATCTGCAACGGCACCATGGTACCAGCGCGATGGTAACTTCGTGTCAAAATAAGTTTTACATTTGCATCGTCGAAGCCACACGGACTCAGTAACACTTGTAAAAAACGCAAATCAGAATACAGCCCTTTTATATATCTACCTCTAGAAGGAAACGGATAAGTGATAAACTCAAGTTGCATTTGATAAACGAGGGAGATGAAAAATATGGGTCAGCCGGTCGCGGATCAGACGTGATACATACGAAATATTTTGATATAAATAAATCGATCGCGTTGCGTGCATCTGTAAATATACAGTATAAAGAAATACAGATTGTAAAAAATATATAAAACAATTATTACGTTTATCACAATTTTAATCGTAGCTAATAAAATTGTTTTCTTCCATAGACACGTTTTCTTCAAATCTACGCAGGCGTTTATTCAAAATAACGTAACATATGTAATATAATTTAAAAAAAAACACATAACTATTCCCCAATAATATACCGAGTATATAATTGTTTTTTATCGGTTACTAATCGTTTGAGAGTTGTGATACGCACGCTTCTACGAAAACGTTTTGGGAACGTGATAAACTTATCGCTATCGTTCTAGACGTTAATGAGCCTCTAATTAGTTCGATAAAACGTACTGAGCATAACAAGGAAATAGTTTTATCAACCATTTCCGATTAATACGTATAAACGGATTAATTGTATAGTAGTCGCGACGTTTGATGCAACCTTCAGCTTGATTTTCATATCCACTATCCTTTCTTTGCTGTTCGCATAGTAAATTAAATTAATTGGATCATATCAATATTGTTTTTATTAATATATTTGCAAAGTTATATCATTTTAATGTTTAGAGTTATACATACATGGAAAGGAATATCACAAATATTCACCGTCTCCCTTCCTTTGTACAATCGTTCGATAAACTAGCATTCTAATGAACAGTCCATTTAGTTTCTTGTACTGTCGACGACACTTTTAGTCCTGCATTTGAACACTGATCTATTTCCCGCTTTGTAACTCGCCAGTAAACAATTTAGCGCGTCCGGCGTCATTCGGTAATTTTTAGCCATTTTTAACTGTCCTGGTTCAGAATATCTCGAGTGCCATATTTCGTAATAAGCGTCGCTGGATATATCACTCAAATGCGTGATGTTGAATTCTTCTTGCAGCGCAACCTTCCAAACCTGGAACATAAAACGTACAGTTGATTATTATCACGACACTCCTTTATTAATATTTATCATATATAATGTCATATTTAACAAGTAATTTAATTTGTTTATATTACACGATTAATATATTAAGAATGATAGAATTTTTGAGAAATATAAGTTAAATGTTAAAACTCACATCCTCTTCGCGTACTGGAATTTTAGCAGAAACGTTCCCAAATCGGTTCTCGCCGTTTAATACTCGCAATTCATACAGCAAATAATTCAGCGTGTACATTTTATCGGGTTCACTGGCGCTGAAAGTTACGGATATCGGCGAACAGCATTCTCTTTTTATCGGATATACAGCACGTGTGAAATAGCTGTCCGGTTTCGCAACACCCCATAGAAGATTTTGCAAGGAATAACCATGGAAAGTACCTCTTAAGTACTGATCTCGAGTATCAGACGGACGTACGCCTAAGGACGATAGATGCTTCCCTGTGAAAATGAGACAAAAAAAATCGATAGCACGCAAAATTATCAACCTTACATAACATCGTGTTATTTACCGAGATAATAATCCTCCTTCTTCCAATACTTTCCACCTTTGATACATTTTTCCGAAGTATTGAACATTTGCACCACTTTACCCAGTGCTCCTCTACTAAGAACATATCCGGATTGAGCAACGTTATAGATCTGGCCCCAAAGGACCACCGGATGACCCAAATAATAATCATGCCTGTAGTCCAACGGAGCGACCATGTAGCGCAGATTTTCCGGTATGATTACAGTATCGTCCTTCGCGAATATAATCCACTCTAGCTCGTCGACTTCGTCCCAAATATAATTCATAGCTTCGCACAATAGTTGCCAGGAAGACACAATTTTTATATCTACGTTAATAACAGGCAGTTCCGCGTCCTTCAAGCGGTGTCCGAAGAAATATATGTTGTTGCAGCGTTTGCCCCAGGTAGCCTTGATTGATTTCCCCAGCTTGAGCTTCTCCACGAAAATCACACACGTGACGGACGCTCGTTTTCTCAACCAGTTCCATTCTGTGTCCTCAAACTCTTTCGCGTCGTTTTTTTCTCGTGGACCGTACAAGTACTTGTCCAAATCAATTTTCTGTAATCTCAAGTTTTGCGCTGCCAACCAAGCGCGATACGTAATGCTATTAAAATCCCTCGTCTCGTTCCAAACTTTTTTCCAAAACTGTAAAATAATCTCTTCGTGACGAGGTCTTTTATTCAGGTAGTATTCAGGTTGCCACAGTGATGCATCCCGATCGACGATCAAATCGGCCACGAATATGCTCCTTAGTGAAACGAATAGTAACGGCATAACGAAGCCTATCCCGAAGCCGATCAGAAACACTGATCTCTGTTTCAAAAATCGGAAACGCATTTTGTGTTGTCGCGATAGAAGAATTCGAGAAAATCTAATATATTCTAGACGATTAAATGAATTGGCGGAAGGCGTGTCGTCTGTAATTCATCTAGTTCGGTCGGAACTGTAACGCCAGGTGGTCTAACATCAAGTACAATCTATATTACACTCGTGCTTTCGATCATTACATTTGACCTTCGTTGAACTCACTTATCTTCGTTGGATCACTTAAGATCTCCTTTCAGATATTGCGTGTGCATTTTAAATCTCTTTGAGTCTTACTTTTTTATTCTCCATATCCGTTCGTGTAGTTGCGATTCATTCCAACTACAAGCGTGTACAGCATAATTAATTTTTATATGTCAAATACATCGCGCCTCTAATTCGTCATCACTATGATTAATTAATTACTACCAAGGTGATATTAATATACGTTACCTGCGGCAAGGAATTCACGTGCATGTGTCGATGATATAAAAGTAGAAAGAATCAATGAAGTCATCGTAGAATCATCGATAATATTATACACTCCTAGATCGTCCTTCTATGTGTGAAGCGTGTTGTGTTTACACTTAAAAACTTGCACGATAATTTTTTTATTACAAACCCGCAGCCGCGACGTTCGCAGTTTTTGTAATAAACCCGTTTGCTATCTAATCGAGCAGAGAAAGCATTGAAAAGTAAAAATTTACCGGGTGTAACATATGATGACCTAGGATAATAATGATATTCACAGCAATCACAGCCGTGCGTCGAATCAACAGGTGTGAGGTGATATAAACAAGACATCTGTTGTCCCCGCACCCTAACCTTATCTTAATGTAATCTAACCTGATCTGTACCGGGATTCTCAAACGCTTAAAACGACGATTGTCGGTATCATCGCGCAGCCTTTCTTATCACAGCTTATATCACAGGTGCATAAGAAAAGCTGCGCAACGATACCGACAATCGTTAAGCGTTTGAGAATCCCGGTATACTGATAAGAAGTCAGCTGATCTGCAATTTTAAATCCACAAAAAAAAAACATGTAAAAGACGAATCTATGAACGAATTTTCGTTATAATAAGCAATTTATTTTTCTTCGCATAACATAATATGTAACAATATAAATAATAACACAAATCTAATGCACTGTAATAGTGGGAAGATTGAGGAGAACATCTTAATGGAACTTTCAATAAATCTTTGATTGCTCGAGATACTTATGTCGTTTTGCCTGAATTAAAAAGATGTTAAATATATTCAACATTTTTCATTTATTGTTAACTCAGAAATAGACATATAGCATTGTACACATACAAGTACATTGCATTAGTTTTACGATAAGAAATCACGATAAGTACTTTATTTCTAAATCTTTCCGCATAGTAATTTATTAGGTACCAAGAGTAGTACAAGTTTTTAATGTGAAATATTTTAAAATTTTGTTATAAATTGAAGAAATTAAACTTTTTAAATTTTTTTTATAAAATAATTAAGTAGTGTAATAACACAGTATACAGTGTAAATGTATAACAGAAAATATGTATATATAAATGTTTTAAAAATAACATACATCATACATACGTACGTGTATATATATTTAAATACATATATATGAATATTTTTACACTTATATAAATATATATAATTTATATAATACTGCAAGAAATATGCAGCAATTAATATAATAAAAATGGTTTAATAGACTTTTACTGTTAGAAATTGACCATTTTTTATGAAAATAATTAAGCAATTCTAAAAATATTGTAATAGAATTTTAATATATATATATTAATTTTAATATATATATATATATATATTATAATTTAATATTAATATACATACATACATTAATAATGATATATTAGTATATATTATTATTAATATATAGACATGTATATATATTTATTTTTGATATAGAAGATTGTGTTGTAATATTAATTGCT